TTTAAAGAATTTTCTTTATGGGGTTGCATTAAACACAAAATTCTTAGCAATCACTTCTCCCTTTAAAAAGTAGTCAGGGCAGACAGCTTCTAGCAGGAAGTTTCTGTTTTAACATGTACATTTTGGGAATAGCCCTTATGAACTGCTATTAGTTTAATATGAATGTTTTACTTTTTCTTTTCAATGAAAACACATTAAACACACAGATTTGTTTCTAAACTCAACAGAATAAACCTAACTAACCCAACATCTGATTTTCAGTTACTCCCTGTGTCTATTCACTCAACACGTGGTATTCTGACACATTTGAAACCTTGAATGTAACTTACCTCATTAATTTTAATCTGTCGCAATTCTTCCTCTGCTGCAGTCAGTGGGGCAGGCGAAGACTGGGACAGCAGATACTTTTTATATCCATGTAATGACACATCTTCCTGCAAGCAAAGAAAGAAATTATTATTCTCCAGAAATACAACCAAAGTGAGGCTACCTTAGGAGAAACAAAATCATTAACTGAAAAAATTAAGTGATAATATATAGCAGTAAGAACTTTATTCTTACTTTAACCCTCTATTTTAAAGGCTTCAAAACACTGAACAAGTGTCTCTTTTTCTTCAAGTTTATAATCATTAAATCTTTTGTCTAAGCTTGATCAGCCAAATAATGAACTGATCAGGTCTCAAGCCTACGGGGCATTTGTAATTTACCACCTGCAGAAAACTGGTCTATAGCTATTCTGAGCAGTTTATTCTGCTTCTAGGTTCTATATTAAGATTACTTATACAGTACTCGCAGAACTATTCATATAAAAGAAAAGTACTTCAAAGAGGTGTGCTTATGATCATTTTGCTCTCAGAAAGCGAGGTAGCTAGGATGGTTTGATGGCTGAGAGAGACAAAGCAGGGAAGCCAACCCAGCACCTGGTTTATGAAATGGAAAAATAAACAAGCTGTTCAAAGTATATTCCAATTTAAAATAAAATAAAAAAGTATATCCCAATCATCTTAATTTGTGAATATAGTCATAAATGTATCAATTCTTAGTGATTATTCTCAATATCAATATACACAACAAGTGAATTTATCAGCATGACCTTGCATACCATGAGAAATGACATTACTCTTCTTATGCTTGAGACAGGGTCTCAAAATGTAGCCCTGGCTGTTCTGGACTCACTACGTAGACCAGGCTGGTATCAGACTCTGCCTCCCAAATGCTAGGATTAATGGTGTCTGCTTCAATGGCTGGCTTCACTGGTCTTGTTTCCTGTTTTGGTTTTTTTTTGAAACATATAAAACACACATAAACACAAGTTTTGCACCTTTACTGTTCCAAATACTTCATCTTTAATGTGACCACCTCCAAATTCTTTTTTCAGAGTTGCTCTTGTTGCTGCATACAACATTTTTTGACGAACCTATACAATTGTGAAAGTTTTACATGTTAATGGGATTATCATTATAAAAGAAAGCAATGATATATTGAAACCTCCAAGTACTTAAACCAATGAGGCTGATGCTCACTGACACTAACAACTGTAACACAGGTGTCTAAACCATTAGTGACCATTAGGGTAGATTTTAAATTATGTAGAGTACTTTTCTAAAGTAGAAAATAAACTTCTAACCTTATACTAAAAAAAATTACTAAAATACTACTTCAAAATATAAGGGGGAGTGACCAATATAAAATAACCTTCACAGTGATATTGTACTCAAAGTTAGACCAGATATGACTAATTAAGCATCAAATATTCATGCATTCCTGATGGCAAATACCAGCAAATGAGGAACAGTGGGATGAACAAATATAAATTTTATTACTAAATGAGTAGTTTTCATAGATAACTACTGAATAGAAACACTTTCATAATTCTAAATAGTAAAATCTGCTACTTCTTCCAGACAGAAGAATTAAAAATGGATAATATTTTGATAATATCTAGGATAGCATTAAAAATTAGCATTTTATAAGAAATCTGAGATTCTTCACAATATTGGGCGGTATATACATCCTAATTCCATCTTTTACTCTATTTAGTTGACTATCAACTCTCTTATTTTGTTTTGTGACAGTATTATCCCTCTATGGGAAATGACTGCTCCTTCTGACCCTTCTTTTAGCCTGAAAATATTTTAGGAAAAAAAATTCCCTAGCTTTTAACACAAAAAAAAAAAAAAAGAAAGAAAGAAAAAACCCTACAAAGAATTACTCACAGGAGAATAGTCTGGAGACCATGCAATGAATATCCATTCATATCCCTGGGCGTTCTGAGAATCTAACCTGAATAATACATAGCACGGCTGCTTGTCCTCCAGCAGCGGCAAAACAAAGTCATCATAATCATGTTCCCAGGAATCTGAAGGCTCACTACATGATCCAATCACAAGTTGCTCTAGGAAAGGAAAAATTTAAACAGGTAAGTGGTTTGCAGTATCAAGTGATAATATGATAAAAACAACAGCAAAAATATGAGCTATTTTCCTATTACTATCTTCCCATAAAAATTGAAAAGGCAGAACTATACAAAATAATTATGATCTGAGGCATTACATAAAGATCTTAGAAAAAGGATGTTTAAATTTTTAGTGTAAATAGCATAAAGAATAAACATAAATGATAATAGCTGAGCAAAAGGTGATTAGACTTGTTAAATTTTTATGCTTAAAATTTACATATCTATAACTTTATTAACTCAAAACTATAATTCGTGAAATTGATATTTAATTGTAAAGAATTATGAAACAAGCTTTAGCTCCTACTTGACAACAACACTGTTGATTTAACATGCTGGCTAAAAGTATAAACTAGAACTGGGAGTTGTCACTGTTTAAGTACTATCTTGCAGAGTTTGACCCTGAAGGAAGTCTTCCCATAGAACCACCTGTGCACATGGACAGGCGCATGCTGTAACACTACACAGCAACAGGGCAAACCAGTGACATCATCTCTGTAAGATAATGTGCAACCATATTCCTGCTTTAAAATAATGCATAAGCTACCAAAACAAATCATAAGAAATCCCAGAAATAAAGCACACGAATAAAACACTATATGGTTTATGTAAACTTAAAAACTCAAAACAGCATTGTGTGCTAAGTAGGCATTTAGGTAAAGGGAATAGATCATATACATATAAAACTTTAAACTGCCACTACCCCAGGGAAAAAAGAAGTGCAGCAGTCAAAAGATGTTTTTACATCAGAAAAACAGTAATATTAAAAAAATAAAATTTGGCTTGGAGCAAACCATAAAGTACTAAGTCATTAATTTAAGATGTAGGTATTTTTTTCTTCTCTGAAATTTCCTAATTTAACATTTTTCTAAAATTAAAAAACAACTGGAAAATACTTAGGAAACAGAAATTTTCCTTCTGAAGAAGTACTAATTAGATACAGTTCATCTTTCCATTTTACTAACTAGTCACAATTTTAGCTACTATGAAGTAGACATTTGTTCCTATTGAATATTATAAAATTTTTCTAAGCTATTTTCACTTTTAGTAAGTGGAAACTGAAAAATGAAGTTGATTTATTTCCAGTTCATGAAAAGACAAGTTATTTTTCCAAAACAAAAGGTTTGAAGGTATTTGAGAAGGCCATTCATTTTGATAAAAATTTATGAAGCGTGACTTCAAATTCATCCAATTCTGATCTGTGTGGCCACTCACAGTTTTCCTAATCACACAATTACTGTTAAGGAGTTAGGGAGCCTGTTCTTAGAATGTTTCCAAAAAAGAAATAGCAATACTCCTCTCTCTACTCTAGGGCCCAAACAGACCCCCCCCCAAAAAAAACCTAAAAGTCAAAAAACAAAACTAAAAAAACCCACTGAAATGTTTCTACTTCAAAACACACTTTACTGAATGAACTAACAAATGATTAGTTTTGTTTGTTTTAAAGTATCTCCCGGTTACTGATTTCCATTCTGGAAGAGGAAGCACTAACGGTAGACATGGATACATAAAAGATGAAGCTATCATAGCAGAAACCATCAGGAGTTTCCCCACTAGCTATACAATTTAAAAAGAAAACAAGCTGAAAGGCAAAATCTAAACTTGTTTCATGCTGATTAATAGTTCAGATTACAAATAACACTTGGAAACATGAAACTGTAACAGCAAGTACTCAATGGGCACATAGTATCTTAAAATGTTAACTAACCATTTTCAATAGATATTTTCAGAAGTCTGTATTTCCCGTTTCTGGCTCTGGCAAAGATCTCTTTAACATCTTCACTTGCTGTGGAAAATGATACAGAAAAGTAAACCCATTTTTAACTTAGAAGTATTTTATTTTGCTCTTTACACAAATAAAACACAAGGAAAAATGTGGGGTACATAGCACTTTCCTACTGCCATTATAAAAGACACACAAAGTTTGGGCACTGAATATCACTAAAAGCTAAATACTAACATTTTAAAAGTATATGAACTCAACATTTTAGTTACAGATTTCTGTAGCAGAAGTAACACTGAAGTGAATACTTTCAGTCAAACCCAATAAACTTCATGTTTGAAAACCTTGAAAGTTGCTTTTATAGTCCAATTTTAAGTTTGTGATAGCACCTTCATTTCCTGTGTCTATCTATCAAAAACAACAGGATCAAGTCTCATATACTGATTAAAGAAAAAGCTTGTAAAATGCACTAGATTTCCCGGTGTTTACATTTTCTTGTATTTCTTAAAAAGCTACAGTAGTCACTGAGCATATAAACATTTAATAACCTATCCCTTGTGTACTCGTGCATGCTTCAATTTCATCCTTGTGTTGTTGATTCGCAGGAAGACGACTATTTAGGTCTTGCTATAAAAGGCTCAAACATCAAACTTAATAATAACGTTGACACATTTCAATGTTGAAATTAACACGGAAAAAAAGACATTTTTTTAGGCATGACACGATTTTTGCCTGGGTGTGTATGGAAGAAAGAAGAGGTGTCAAAGCAAGTTATTAACCGGTCACCTGCAGGGAAATGACTATCACAGGAAGTGCTCTAGTTTATGATAGAACTCGTTAAGTAACTCCGGGATAATATTATTTGATCCCGAGGAGGTGAGTACTTCCAAGTTGCCTGTTTTCAAACCAGGAAATAATGGAGGGTACAGAGACACAAGTAATTGCACGCTGAACTGTCTCTACGGGGTGATTAGCTGCAGACACACAGACCAGACTTCAGCTGCCTGGGGAGAGTCCAAAGATGGAAAAACACTTCCTCCTCAGGATTTCTCCGAGAGGTAAGCACGCTCCCCGTTCTGAGAGAGACAATCCGGGGAGTTTGGGAGGCAGCCTATAACTATGGGATTTGTTTGTTTTTCAAATGAGTGCAGGAACAATCTGCTCGCCGGAGGGTACCGAGGAAGGTCGCTCGGAGCCAGGCCAGCCTCGGGTCTTCCTACTCCTGGAGCGGGGGGCTCGGGAGGCGGCGGGTCGGGCCCCGTACGGATCCCCACGTCTCGGCTCCCCCACAACCACTGCCTGTTAACGTGGCGGCGGCCGGGTAAGGCCGCCAGGGACACGGTCGGGGCCGTCGCACCCAGAGACGCTCCAACACCGTCCGCGCCTCCAGCGCTCAGGCCCGCCGCCTCCCGGGAGCCCCTGCCCCGTGGCGCTGTTACCTTGGATGCCGGTCTGGTGGGACATGGCGGCGGCCGCAGGTTCCCGGCTCCGGCGCAGGGTGCGGCAGCGGCACCGGCCGGCGGATCCAGGAAGTAGCGGCTCCGCCTGCGCGTCATCTGCCCGCGACCCTCCGCCCCGCCTCCCAGCACCAGCCGCCTTCGCCGGCCGGGCACAGTCCCCGCCCACGTCCCCGCCTCCTGCCCTTTCACTGGCTACTCTCTGTTGTCGTCACAGTCCCCGCCCCGCCAGGCTTTAATCACGCCTTCCCGTCACTGGCCCCACCCCTCGCTCCCCGCCCTCTGCTGCTGTGCTTAACAAGGCAGTATCCTTTGGCGACTTGTTGAGTGTATACACGTGTCTGCACAGCGATCCCCACCAAAAAATTCTTAGAGGAGAAATAAGCTGTTTCCCCAAGCATATGTTTCCTAAGTAAAAGACATGCCCTTTGTTGTAAGGAAACGGCCCCTTTAAGGCGACAGATAAAACAGCTTAGCACTAGCACAGCATAAGTAAGATGGGGTTCAAGACCACTTCAAGCCCATCTTAAAATATGAGAGCATAGAGTCCTTTAACATTTCCCTCGTGATTTAAATGTAAAGCTATTCACTTTTTAATTGGCCACTCACACAAAACCACAGTTTTCACCTCAAAGAGAAAATGGTAGTTTATTTTTAAACAAATTATGTGGCTATGGGTGTATATGAGTGTGTGTGTGTGTGTGTGTGTGTGTGTGTGTGTTTGCATAAATTCAGGTGCCCCCCAAATTCCCTAGTATCATGTTCCAACTTGGTAACAGTTTTATGAATTCTTTTTTGCAGAAGCAGAACAAAAGAAAATCATAAGTCAAAGCATCTTTAAAACATGTATTTGGTGGGGACATGGGTTCAGATATTAGCTGATGACATTTTTAACTTTTAAGCTAAGTGGTTTGACCATCTCAAAAGGATTTCCCTAATGGTTCCAAAGATGGATGTTAATTAAGACATCGAAGTGGTCAGTGAGTGGGATGGTCCAAGATAATCTGGACCTACCACACCACAGTCCTACACAATCAGGTCATTCTGAAGAGTCAGACAACCTTTCAAGTCTTTAGCAGGTGTTGGGTGGCTTTTTTCTTCCTGGGAATTTCAGTTCACAGCACCTTAAGAGATCTCATTGTCCTTTATGCGGTTCCTCAGAAAATCATCAATAGAACTTTGCTTCAGGTTAGCCCTTTATTGTTTCAAATCAAATGTGTATTCATACTTACCCGGAATAAATCTGTATGGAAACAGCAGATAGCAGTTAAAATTCTTCCTCACTTTAGGCTTTTATTCGCATCATTTCCTCATGAAAACTAATCCTATTATTATTTTTTAATGTGGGTTTTCTAGTGTTCCTAAACAGACTTTAGAGCCTTGAACCAATAAATATATAAAATTAAAATGTGCTAAAATGCAAATGCTCTTCAGGCAAACAATATAAAGACAAGAACCCCTCTTTGGGTATAATGCATTTTAAATAAGCCACTAAATAGTCCAGCAAGACCACAGCAAACAAGATGGTTATATTCTGGGACTTGTAATCTAAAGTTTTTCTTTATCAGATCCTCATACTCATGGATCAGCCACCTACAATGTGAGGTTTTGGGGACTTCTTTGGGAGGTGTTTCATTCCAACAAGTACTTCCTGGCATAATGGCTCACCCTGATTTACCAGTTTTAACTGTAGTATTGCACAAAGGGAAAATTGTAGAGTTTACTTGCAGGATTTTAGCTGATTCATGTCCTGTTGATTACAGAGGCTGGCTTTGTTAAAAAATGCTGACGAGATTAAAATAATATCTTTCCCATATCCACGATTAGAACCATTGTGTGCTCAGCTTGAGAAGAAGAAAGTCCAATTAAGTTTGTAGCCTTCCTGTAATCCCCCTGGAAACCCTTGTTTTTACTGTCTGCAAACAGGTGGTTTATGTACTATCTGCAAGGGCCTTAGGTCTCACCAGAGACCTCTACACATGTTGTTGCTGCTATAATAATTTTTTAAATTATTTTATTGAGGCAGTTCTTGTTCTGGTTGTCCTGGAACTCACTCTGTAGACCAGGCTGGCCTCACAGAGATCCACCGGCCTCTGTCTCTGTGCTGGGATTAAAGGTGTCCTCCACTAGGAGAGATCTCTCAAGGTATTTTTAACCCTGAGAGGAGGCAATTGTTATACTTCTCTTTCTTGAACTTCTTAGGCTTTTTAGCTTCCTATTTATCTTTCCCATTCTAGAAAAAAAATCCAGCCATTTTAATTAAGAAAAAGTCTTAACATAAAGCTCCTACTTTACTAAAAATATACTTATTTTTACATCTTTTGAACATTTGCTTCTCTGGCTTGGTGATGACCTATAATTTTACATATTTTAACATCATAAAACATAGTAACATTAACAAGTACAGTTATCTAGAGACTCGCTGTTGAGTCCAGTGACATCAGGTTGGATGGAGAACATTCCTCCCTCTTTATAACCTATAGAAATGTGTCCAGATAAGACTTATCACTGGTAGGACCGTGAGGTGGGAGTGGGGGTTGATAAGTGTCAATGAAAGGACACCCTCCCCTTCCTCAGAGTGCTATCTGAGGGGAAACACTCAATTTTGAAGGGTTACCCTCTGATGTCTTTAAGTTTTCTAGATCATGGGCACGTGGCAGGCAGTGCTCACCATCACAGGGATGGAATCAGCAGACTTATCTGGCTTTACCTTTGTCTAACTTGAGGTCTGGCTAGGCTTGGGAAGGAGGCCCCGCTGCTTGAAAGCCTGTATTACAATTAGTGTGCGAAGTGAAAACAGGAAACCATAAAAACATAATGACTGCCCTATCTCCTACAAAAAAGATAACACTACGGTTGTTGTTTCCCACAAATGACCACTTTCCCCATCCTCCACTTTACACTTAGGCCAGGCTCAAAGGCAGAAAGATTTCAGGCTTTTCTTTTCTCAGTCTCTGTGGGCCAGATTATGATCGGCAGTTACCCATCTGTAGGTTTCCACACATACCTCCTTGGCCCTGAAGTTACTTGTGGACATAACTGGGACTCAAAACCATGGCTTTCTCCTTTCTTGTATGTCTTGGCAGTGGTTGAAATTTACAACTTGCCTGCCCGGATGTTTCTATCTCAAACTCTAATAAGATGGTCTTTGAGTTTCCCTCTAAGCCTATTTTGAAAGACTTCTATCTTTTAGACTATAAACCTGCAAAGGGGGACCCTTGAGTCTCCCATAAAAGTAGTTTCATTGCAAACAGGATTAAATTGCTTCCCAGGAGAAAGTGTACGGTTGACTTTACTTGTTTAAGGTGTCAAATCAGCCTTGGTCAGGCTTCACAGGCTACAGTGACTTTGATGAAAGGAAAGGAATCTCAAACTTGAAAAACAAACTTAGGGTCTGGTATAGTTGTATTAAGAATTAAACATTTAAAGTCACAAATCCTAACTCACGCAGCTGGACAGTCTATTCAAAAGAAGTATCTTCTGTCCAATTCTAACTCCCTGATGCCCCAGTGGGACTCCAGGCCTGGCATAGCAGGTCTGATTTCAAAATGTCAGAATTTAGACTTTCTTCTAAAATAATTATGGCAACAACAAAAACAAAAGTCCATTTCAACTTCAAAAGTGCAAAAAAGCAAAAGAACCATATATGTGGGCCATATTTGGCTCATGATTAATTGGTGGAGTAAGACTTTAGACCTTAATCTCCTATGTGGTCCATTGTCAAAGACACTTAACAAAAGGAGACCTCCTGTAAATGTCTTATACAATAGAAAAGAACATGCTGTGTAAGGTATCAGTGTGAGCAACACATACTCGTTTCTCGAATGGGAACCTGTTAGAACAGAATTGGTTCTTAATATGTGAAAAAGTTATAGGGAAAAAATATTGCATTATTGGCTTTAGACTTTGTTAGCAAAACCCCACCAATGTGGTTAAAATGTGGGTTAAAAGCCACATAGGCACTGTATGGCCTTGAACAAAATTAATCTTTGTTCCTGTCACACACCAATATTGATGGGGTTCTCAGGGAACCTTAGTGAGACAGAAGCTGTTCCAATGTGTTAGGTGCTCTAGTGTGTTGGGCTTCATATATGCTAGCTAGCATCGGGCCCATGTATTATTATATAGTATGTTTCAAAAAACAAGGCAAAGGAGACATTGACATAGTTTGATTTGCAGAGTGTTTGCCTACAATTCAGAAGCCTTGAGTTAAATCCTCAGCCCTGGGCTTGGTTGCGCATGTCTGTAATCTCAGCACTCAGGAGGTGGAAACAAAAGAATCCAAAGTGCAAGGTCCATTTGGCTAACTAGTGACCTCCAGGCCAGCTTGGGCTACATGAGACCTTGTTGAATGAAAGAATAAATAAATATAAATAAAACAAAATAAACTGAATTTCTAAGTAATTATCAGTGTCGATTCCTTAATAAAGATACATTATCACTGTGTCTTGTATAACTCATAAAGGCATTAAATAATTAAAAAACCCAACTCATTGGGCCATAAAAATGAAGATCATTTGCAGGTAATTACAACTCCCAGCAGTAATAGACATCAAGCAACGGTAAACTTTTAAGGAAACAGGATACATTTATTCCAAAGGCTCTACAGTCATCGAAACAGGCACTGAGAAAAACAGAACAAAGACTTGGGTTGAAGATTACCACTTCAAGCAAATGATATCTCTTTTTTGCTCTCTCCAGTAAAACCCTAACAAATGATAGGTACGGTCCTAATGAAGGAAACAGGAGGCATTTGCTTCAAAAGAGCTGTTGATAACGATAAATGTGCTTATGAGAATCCAGGCAGGAGAAAGCACAGAGCGACACCGGCTGTGATGTATTATACCCAGTGCATTGGAGGAGGCTCACTTCAGCAGCGGCATGTTGAATCTCCTCTCCTTGTCTCTTGCAATCCTGTGGGGTAGGCAGGGTTGGTTTAAATGGCTAGTGTGACTATCTGGGAGTCACTCTGAGTATACAATGTTCTGTCTTTTCTATTAACAATGTTGCTGATTGACAATGCTTCTCTGATGTTTTAGTATGTGGGAAAGATGTTCCTTAATAATCAGTCCAGGGGAACAAGGGAACAGCTTTTTATGTTTCTTTTCTTTTTTTCCTTTGGCCTCAGTATTTTTTGTGGCTGTAATGGATTCTTGAACCTACATGTGTGAAGCATTTGGAGCCTAGAACTTGCAATCTGTCTGGGAGATGGTATGGGGAGAAATACAAAGCCAATTTTGTATATAACAGGGTTTTGTTTGTTCCTTTTTACCGAGATGTGTCTTAAAAGACTAATTTAGAAAAAAGGGATGGATACAGGGGGAGGGGTATGAGTAAGATTGAGAGGTTAAAGTTGTTTCACATCCATTCTAAGCCATCCAAGAGTGGAGTCATTCCTACCAGTGTGTAAAATGGGTTTTCTTTGTCCATTAAATTTTTATAAACAGGCTTTTACAAGAATATTATGATGTGTCTGTTTGGTTTTGGAAGCGCGTAGATCACTGTGGTAGCTTTCCTTTGGGGGTGTGCTAGTGAAAGATTTAACAATTAATATTTTGTGTTATTAAAAAGGACAGTGATCCAGCATGGGAGTGCCTAGGTAGTATACACAGAATCAGGAGTTCTAGGTGATCCCTGATTACACAGTCAGTTTGAAGGACAGTCTGAGCTACGTGAATCTTTCCCTCACAAATCCGAAAACAAGTAACAGCAGCAACATCAAAAAACCAGGCACTGTAGTTCAGTTGCCGGAGTGCTTGCCTGTGGTTCAGGAAGCCTGGGTTCTACCTCTGGAAGCCTATAGAGCAGGCAAGGTGACTCCCACCTGTAATCCCACATTTGGGAGATGAAGATAGGAAGATCTGAAGTCCTGGGTCATCTTCAACTACATAGAAAGTTTAAGGACATTCCAGGCTACAGGAGATTCTGTCTTAAAAAAGAAAAGAGCAGAAAAACAACAACAACACAAGGGTACATATTTGGTAGTAGAAATGCCAGATGGGACAAAACCCGAGTCATTGTTGGCTGTGATTTCCATAACAGACCTGGCCTGTGGCATGCCTACTTCTACACTTACTTTAGCTTCAAGAAAATAACTTCCATTACTGTTTCTGGCCTCTGTTCTCAGAGACAAATATGCAGTAAAACATTTTGCTTTACTCAGATACATGAGTATTCCTCATTTCCCAGCTCTTTAGTTAATCAAGAGAATGTTAGAAGCAGACCGCTCATGGGGGGAAGCTGTGTTACACAAGCCATT